GCTAGAAAACCAGAGAGAAGAAGTGAGTTTTAAGTGTTGATTTAAAAACCCCAAGGGTCTGGGCCGACCTCACATGGAGTGGCAGAGTGTTCCAGAGCATTGAGCCAGCCGCTGCAAATGCTCGGTGGAGACGGTGCCCTCGGGTTTTGAGCCTGGTCTTAGGCACTATCAGCAGCAGCTGGTCAGCCGACCTTAAGGCTCTGGCTGGGTCTCACGGCATTTCGTGTTCACCAACACGATTTTTAATCTATTGATTCGTGTTCACCAACACGATTTGCCCCTTTTTTTCGTGTTGCACAGCACGATTTTAAAAGCAATGTATTTCTATTGCCTGCAGCACGTCTTTTTCTCCGGTCGGGTCGAGGAAGACCGGAAGCTGTGTGGTTCATAAAAACATGTTCTTACTCAATATCAAGCCACAGTTATTGCTTTTATTTGAAATCGTATAATTTCAGACTTTTGTTGCCGTCTGTGAGGAAAATAAATGGGGCTCAGAGCCTCAGGATACTGAAATCTGTATTTTTTAAATCTTTTTTTCCTTCTAATTTGTTATTCTTTTCAAAATAACACACTGTTATTTACTCACCAATAACACACAATTATCCTTGCTTTTATTTATTGGTTGAATTCCATAATCTCTGGCTTTTTTGGCGTCCGTCAGGAACTGAATTTCAAAATAAAAATAACCGGAAACAGACGTAGGCATTTCGAGGGATTACCCAAGATCCTCAGCTATGGTTTTAAGCTCGTTTATTGGATGTTTTAGCCGCAATGCATGCTGGGATTTGGTGTTTATATGATATGAAATCCGGAAAACATTTTAAAAGAATAAAATAATACTTAATTCCGAGCGCTCTTGCTTTTCTCTTTGAAAGTCATCACATAACGGCATTGTAATACACGGTTCGGCTGCATTGTATATTACAGATCTGCCGTAGTTCTTTATTTATAGAGCCCTGATGAGAAGACCTTTGGAAAAACTGAGAAAATACCGCCGAAACTGAATACTTGATGTGGATCATAAATATATTCAACAATTAAACAACATCTTCAATTTCTCTTCACACAATACGTCTCCTTGCAGTATCAACACTAATTCGGCTGACTTTTACATTTGATCTAATTCACAGATAGGTTATATTTACACCATAACGGTGCACAGCTGATATAAAAGGACTGTAGTTTTTAAAGATATTACTGATTTTCTTTGAATGTAAGAATGTAAATACTGAGTCTGAAATAGTATAGCAATATGCTGTAAAATTATGTGAAAGCATGCATAAAACTACACATCTTCAGATGTTGTACGAAAACACAAGTGTCCTACACTAATAATACAAAGTTATTATGGCTGTGTGTACCTTGTGTGCACCTCCTAGTGGTTAATGCACGTTATTGAATTATTGTGTTTTATTTGATTAAAAAAATATTAAGAGTACATACTTTCATAGGGGGAAAAGTATAAATATAGAATATAAAAAATCAAGAAGATAGTATAAGTGATCTCTACAATAAAACAGTTTAGTGCAGAATGTACAAAGATATTAATAGGAGGAGGTGCAAAACAGAAAAACGAATTAACCTTTATTTAAACATTAAATAACAGATTAAGGTCTTCTTTTAAATAAGAAAAAAACTTTGGGGGTATCTTTCTACAGATAAATATTAAGCCTGACAAAGTACTTAACGTCTAATATATTGCTTTCCTGCAATGTTAACTATGTTGAAGCACTTATTTTAACTGATATTATACATATGAATTATACTCTTATGTATGTAGATAGAATAAGAAATGTGCAGAATATGACAGTTTAATGGTGGAGGTACACATATATTGATAGATGTCTTGTAATGCACTGTTGAGGAACCTGTGACCCAAGTGTTTCATTCATTGCATAACTACACCGTAGTTGTGTATATGATATGTCAATAAACCTTTGAAAAACTTGAAAGGGATGTGCAAAATAGCCATAATATACAGTCTTTAATTAACTATTAGTAGAGAATAACGAGTAATGAATATACTTTATTACTCGTTTCCATTCATTGCAGATACATGTTTAGTCTTCTCAAGCACCAACTATCAAATATCTCTCCTGATTGTTGGCACTTGACAATCACCTTACCTGAATTTTACTCAGGTGTAACTAAAGTCTGATTTAAGGGTTGTTTATATTTCAAATAATTAATCAGAATCTGCAAAGTAACTCAAATAAATGCAGTGGAGTAATAATACCAGGTTAACCTCTGAATTGTAGTGGAGTAGAATTACAAAGTAACAATGAGCTGTCATGTGGGTATTAATGCTGCGCATTATGGACACAAGCGATTTTCACCCATTTATTAATTATATGTTTTACATTTGATAATACCAATGTGTTTAATACTGGCAACTTCTAATTGTGGGAAAAACGAAAACGTTCAGTAGAGACGTCCCATAGAACATTTTGCGAAACACAATAGCCAGCATGTGTAGTTCTGGGGGGCGTTCGATTCCAGTTTTGGATAGTCTGGCGTGGGTGGTTTCGTTCCATTTCACACAGCTGTTTGACGCTCTGCGTAACTTTACGGGGACTGTAGTCCTAAACGATAGCTGGGGATTATGGGTAGTGTAGTGTCTTCGGCCATCCTAAATTCAGAAACGTTGACAATCGCAATGATGCTCGAAATGTCCCTTATAGGCCTACGTCTGTTTCCGGTTATTTTTATTTTGAAATTCAGTTCCTGACGGACGCCAAAAAAGCCCGAGATTATGGAATTAAACCAATAAATAAAAGCAAGGATAATTGTGTGTTATTGGTGAGTAAATAACAGTGTGTTATTTTGAAAAGAATAACGAATTAGAAGGAAAAAAATATTTAAAAATACAGATTTCCGTATTCTGAGGCTCTGAGCCCCATTTATTTTCCTCACAGACGGCAACAAAAGTCTGAAATTATACGATTTCAAATAAAAGCAATAATTGTGGATTGATATTGAGTAAGAACATGTTTTTATGAACCACACAGCTTCCGGTCTCCCACGACCCGACCGGAGAATAAGACGTGCTGCAGGCAGTAGAAATACATTGCTTTTAAAATCGTGCTGTGCAACACGAAAAAAAGGGGCAAATCGTGTTGGTGAACACGAATCAATAGATTAAAAATCGTGTTGGTGTACACGAAATGCCGTGAGACTGGGTTGAATAGTCGTATTTTAAAAAAGCAGGTTTTGACTACGGTGCTGACCTGCTTATCAAATGTAAAAGCGCTAAAGCTATCATCAAGACCAAAGCGCTTAAGCACTTCTAGCAGATAGGGCCATTCGACTCTGTCAAACGCCTTTTCTGCATCGAGTGACAAAATGGCCTTGTCCGGGGCTCCTTCACAAAACGTAACCCTCCTTACTTTATGGAATCCCTGAGGATTTTTAACAAAGCCGCTTTGATCTGCATGTATCATCAGTGGCAGGAACCTCTCCAGTCCCATAGCCAAGGCTTTAGCAATGATCTTTGCATCAGCGTTAAAAAAATAAATTGGTCTGTTAGAGCCACATTTGGATGATGATTTACCTGGCTTTAAAATACGAGTTAAGGCACTTCGTAGCGAAGGGGGGAGTCTGCCCTACTCTGCCTCTTATAGAACTAAACAAATATTAATTTCCAACGGATCTGTAGGTATTGCCCACTGTTCATTTCTAATTTCAACACGGATGAACGATCGAGTTTTGGGATAGAGTGCAGTTGAAGTCACCTGCCATCATTACTTTGCCTGGGAGGGATGCAACCATTAAAAACTGATTCCCAAAAAAAGCGAGACTGTCGTCATTTGGGCCATAGACATTCACCAAGGTGATGTTTTCTTTTAACATAGTGCCTTGTATCATCAAATATCTACCAGCTGTATCAGATATAATATTGTTCATCTCCTTCGCACCTTTAATAAGTCATCCCTAAGCAGATGGGTGTGTGGTTAAAACGTAGCAACCTGCAGTCGCTCTTTAGCTGTTCTAATGAAGGTAAACACAGTGAAGTAAACAGTAAAAGGCACAGCTCTTTGAAGCTGGTGCTGCTCTTCTCAGATTCTGCTGAGTTACACGTTACTGCCTCCTGGTGCTGCAGAGATTTCATGAAGTGAAGGAGGTTTTCCTTCTATAAACAGCTGTGGGCAGCAGATACTGTGAGAGTCACGGACATTAATTAATAGATCAAAACAGACTGGTTCACAGACTATTTTATTTTGCCCATCCGCTTAAACAAATAGCTCTACACCCCTGGCCGAAATGTCCCTAAAATGAAGTCCGAGTTCGAAATATATCTCAAATAACGTATGCACTGCCATTTCCCCACATAAACATAACAGTCTGCAATGAAACGGCTGTCTCCTGTGTGCTCCACTTCCTCCTTGGCGCACCGGTAACTTTCTGGTGCGAACGTTTATTTTTCATTGCCCTTTAGGTGCGAAGGACAATACAAGTGCAAATATTTTATTATAAAAAGTAAAGTCCTTTCGAGTCATCTGTCTCAAGCCTAAGTCAAGTCGAGTCTTTTATCAATGTTAGTCAAGGAAGTGTCAAGTCAGAAAATATGCGACTTGAGTCTGACTCGAGTCAAGTCATGTAACTCGAGTCCCCCACCTCTGGTTTATACTGTGGTTAGAAAGTTGCCGTATTACTGTATCAAATATAATACAAATATAATAAACACAAACAGTAAGTAAAAGTAATAGAGTGTGGATTAGTGCGTTGGTGATCAGATCGGAGGAGCACAGGTTCAAACCCCACTGCAGTCAGCATGTTGTTGTGTCTCTGGGCAAGACACTTCACCCCAAATTGCTCCTGTGGGGATTGCCCACAGTATTGAGTATGTAAGTCGCTTTGGATAAAAGCGTCTACCAAGTAACATGTAATGTAGTATTTTGTTAACTGAAAGTTTGTATTAAGTGAGTTTTTATTGTGTTAACTATATATGTATTTATGCTTTTTAGATTTTATTTCTCTCTTTCTCTGTCCGTCTGTTTTAGAAACCGAAAGGAAGAGAGAGAGACGTCACAGCTATCAGCAATGTGACAAATCCTTTGCAAGATCTGGAAATGTAAAGCTCCACCTGCGTATTCATACTGGAGAAAAACTGTACAGCTGTGAAGAGTGTGGGAAAACATTCACGAGATCAAGTGATCACAAAAGACATCACCTATTCACACTGGAGAAAAACCATACAGCTGTGAAGATTGTGGGAAAACTTTCACTAGATCAGGTGATCTCAAAACACATCAACGTGTTCACACAGGAGAGAAACCGTACTGGTGTGAGGAGATGCTGTTTTCTCCCTAACCCATCATGTATTTTCCTAAATCTGACTAACAGTTGTTTAAGTTCTAACCAGCGTTCATACTATGCCAACAAAAGTCCACAGAGATGCTCTTTCTCTCGATTTAATTCATGTTTGTAACGGTTCTTGATCTATAAATAATTATTTCCCTATGCTGTTTTTCGACTAACTTTCTAATAGCCTTGTTTTTCCTTTTATAAAATATTGTATGTCCAGGTTTACATGGATAGCCTCGTTAAGCTGCATTGAAGGTATTTAGTTTCACTGTTAATTAATCTGCCAAGTAATTTTTCGAATAATTTGTTTGGTTAATAAAATGTTGTGACTTTAAAGGTGGGGTAGGTACGTTTGAGAAACCGGCACATTATAAACATGTCGTTCCCTTGTTTTAATGAATAAAGACAGGAGGGAACTGTTTAAATAAATTGTCCATGGACATACAGACAGGCCGGGCTTCAAGGGCACCCAGGAGAAAACAGCGTTGTTTTTTTATTTCTATGTGTATATATAGTACAAAATCTGAGTACTTGTAATCAAGTACAAGATTTGAGTACATCTACTTTTACTAAAGTACAATACCGGAGTACTTCTACTTTTACTCAAGTATAAGATTTGAGTACTTCTACTTTTAATCAAGTACAAGATCTGTGTACTTCTACTTTTACTCAAGTACAAGATCTGAGTAATTCTCCACCTCTGTAAGTATAGTAAGGCAGTAAGGATTGCCTTAAATCTCTCATACCCCTTTCACACCAAGGCTTTTCCCGTTCAAGCTCCTAGCTAGAGCTTTTCTGGTTCAGAACCAGTTCTTCGGTTCAGCTCCCGCTCTGTTCACACCGCTCAGTCAGACTGGTGCTGCGTCATTGCGTCATCGTTTGCGTCATGCCGTATCCGTTTGCGTGACTGCTTCATGAAGCCAAACTGTGCGGAAACCCCTCGCATCGACAACAACAATGGCAGATTGTATTGAATCGCTACTCGATGTGGTTTTGCTCTGTCTAAACTAAATGGAACAAATGGGACAACTTTACGACCAACTTTAGAGTCGTTACATGCTACATTCAAGACTTCTTTACAATCATCAACTTCAATGACGATTCGTTAGAGCTAGCTGTTGTTAGCCTCTGTATGCGCCAAGCTCAAAATACCCAGCTTTGCAGTATTAATTACTATGGTATAACATTAAAACTGATTCTCAATGTTATTTCCACAGATCATGTTGAAGCTGGCGGAAAGGCGGATCTCGCGTGTTATTTGGACACAGCCCAGATCTTCCGACTGGTGGGACACCATTGCTTCAGACTGTTCCCCTCTGCAATTCATGCAGAATTTCCGCGTGTCCAGGGAGTACTTTGACTACATCTGCAACCAGGTCAGCGGCGTTTAGGGGAGAAGAGACACAAATTACCGTCTGTGTATACCCAATAGAAAACGGGTTGCAATTGCCCTCTGGAAGCTAGCCACCGGAGGTGAATACAGGACCATCAGTCATCTTTTCGGGGTAGGCCTAAGCACCGTTTGCCTCTGTGTTCAGGATTTCTGCAGGGCAACCATGGAGATGCTGCTTCCACTACATATCACATTTCCTGATGTGGAGAAGTTGGTGGAAATGGCCACTTTTTTCAACAACCGTTGGAGAGCACCACAGTGTGTTGGTGCAATAGATGGAAGCCACATCCCTATTTTAGCACCACAAAATTATCCCAAGAACTATTATAACAGAAAAGGATGGCATTCTGTTGTTCTACAGGCTGTTGTTGATAGCAGGGGGATGTTCTGGGATGTGTGTGTTGGCGACCCAGGTAGTGTACATGATGCTAGAGTGCTAAAACAATCCAATCTTTGGGTGGCTATCAGTGATGGAGTGTTGATAGGCCAAAACAAAATGACCATCTCTGGCTGTGATGTGGGACATTACCTGATTGGTGACCCAGCCTATTCAATGCAAAGATGGCTAATGTGGAGAATTGAAGATTATATTCATCTTAATGTCACCCATATATAAGAGGTGTGTTGCATCATGTTATCACTAATGTAGGTGTGGTTTTATACATTCCTGTGTGTTAAATTTGAAGGGACAAAGTACATTTATTCCTCTTAAATATAGAGAGGTTTTTTATATATTCCTGAAACAATGCTCCCTTTTTCTTAAAAGTAGATTAGCGCACTAGTCTTTTTCTTCCACCTGTGTAATCAAAAGGGTGTTTTTTTGGCTATCTGTGAGGAGGTAAAATGCAGAATTACTTGTGATTTCTGTTTTGAGTGAAAAGATTACCCGTTAAGTGTTTTTCAGAAAGTCTTGTTGCAGTTAGAGGCCATGAGGTTCTTGGCTAATCATCAATGGTATTTGCAAATTAACAAGGGAACTCCAAGGGACATTTTCCTCAGATTTAATGCAGTTACATTCTTGTAGTTAATGATGCATATCCTGCATACCTATAAAGAGGCCTTGAGAATTGAGTCACACAGTTAGGGTCTGAATTATCAATGAATGTATTCATTGATGCTGAACAATGCCTGTGTTTGTATCCTATTGACTTTATTCTTTCATGTGTGAGTACTAAAATGGCCACAACATTGTGAAGTAGTTGGCTTCAATGTGCTTAAATGACTCTGTGTGAAATAAGGAGCAGGTTTGCATGACAGGAGACTAGAAATGATGGGGGAGGGGAGCAGAGAGGGAAGTTGGAAGAATGTGTGTGTGTGAAAGCTGCAGGAATACGAGACAGCGAACACCAGATGTGTTTGTTTTGCTTCAAACTGAGAGACTGTTTCCGGATCAGCTCGGCTGGCGCGCGCTGATACGCTACGAAAGCCCATCGTTTGTATATGGGCCAATAGATGACCTGTATGGGAGGACCATCCACACAGCTCCTCCCGTTGTTCTTATAATATCTCCTGTTGAGTCCTTGTGTCCGGTCTCTTTTCCTCCTGCCGTCAAGATGATGATGTTCTCCCGGCATTAGGACCAGGGCAGGGGTGGGCCTACCCCTTTGAGAAGTGTATTGTATTCTTACCTGTTACCATTAAAACAGATTATTGTTTAACCCCTATCCTGGTTGTTTTGAGTTTTCCTTCTTTTAAAACAAACTCATATAGGATCGGCGCGGAGCAGAGATATCTGCTCCAACACTAATGAAACCATTTTCGGACACTGGGAGACTGACCTCTGAACAGCACACCGACAATTACAGGCTGAGCAGTGCACGGTCGGTTGTTGAGATGGCTTTTGGAAGGCTAAAAGGAAGATTGAGGTGCCTCCTAAAAAGAAACGACTGCAAGCTGGAGCTCAGCAAAATAATGGCACTGACTTGCTGTGTACTAAAAAAAAAAGGTATGAACAATTTACATACAAAAATAAGGTCAGCTCTTGTTGTTGGTCTCCATCACCTTCACAATCCTGTCTACCAAGCCAAGCATTGAGTGGCTGTTCTGCTCAATTCTGCTGAACACCTGTATGAACTCAGAATTGGCAGTATGCACCTCCTGAAGCATCGCATGGCCCTGCTCCAGTAGCCTTTCCTCCCTCACGTCACTTTTCTCCATATACATCAGAAGACCAGATGACGAATCCAGCTTGCTTTTAACTACAAAGGGAACAATAATAAAGTCAACACAGTATTCATGGTATTTTATGAGATGTATATTATATACTGTGTAATGAAATGTTGTATTGTTATTATGGCTGCAGTTGCATAACTTGAACAACGACTACAATGACTATGCCATGATAAATGCACATGGCAACAGGGAACAGTATTACTATAATTATCACTGTAAACCTTACCCTGTTTGTTTCGGCCCACTGGCTGGATTAGGTTCACCAGACATTCCTGGGAAGAGCTGCTTGCCGTAAGAGGAGACCCTTCCATCCGCACCGGCGAGCTACACGCCAACGGTAGTGGTGGTTCCGACACAGTACGCTCCAAACCAGATATTTCTGTAAACATAATATAAACACAATGAACAATAGTAAGGCAAGGTAAGGCAAGGCAAGTTTATTTATATAGCACTTTTCAACACAAGGCAATTCAAAGTGCTTTACAAAAAATGAAAGACATTAAGAAAATGGCATTTAAAATCAGTCATTAAAAAGAAAAGCTAATAAAATAAACATTAAAAGAAAAAATACATGGATAAAAATTACAGCGCAGTTTAAGATATGAATAGTTAAATTAAAAGTAGCGACAAAAAGAAAAGTCTTCAGCCTGGATTTAAAAGTAGTAAGAGTTGCAGCGGACCTGCAGGTTTCTGGGAGTTTGTTCCAGATATTTGGAGCATAATAACTGAACGCTGCTTCTCCATGTTTAGTTCTGACTCTGGGGACAGAAAGCTGACCAGTCCCTGAAGACCTGAGAGATCTGGATGGTTCATAATTTAGCAGGAGGTCAGAAATGTATTTTGGGCCTAAACCACTCAAAGCTTTATAAACCAGCACCAGTATTTTTGAAATCTATTCTTTGACACACAGGAAGCCAGTGTAAAGACTTCAGAACAGGAGTGATGTGATCCACTTTCTTAGTGTTAGTGAGGACTCGAGCAGCGGCGTTCTGAATCAGCTGCAGCTTCCTAATAGATTTTTTAGTGAGACCTGTGAAGACACCATTGCAGTAGTCGAGTCTACTGAAGATAAAAGCATGGACAAGTTTTTCCAAATCCTGCTGTGACATTAGTCTTTTAATCCTAGATATGTTCTTTAGGTGATAGTAGGCTGATTTAGTAACTGTTTTAATGTGACTGTTGAAACTCAGGTCAGAGTCCATGACTACACCTAGATTTCTGGCTTCATCTGTTGTTTTGAACATTGCAGAGTGAAGCTCAGCGCTAACTTTTATACGTTCTGCCTTGGCTCCAAAAACCATTACCTCAGTTTTATCTTTGTTTAATTGGAGAAAGTTCTGACACATCCAGTCATTGATTTGTTCAATGCACTTACTCAGTGTTTGAATTGGAGCATAGTCTCCTGGTGAAATGGTTACGTAAATGTGTGTGTCATCTGCATAGCTATGGTAACTTTTGTTGTTGTTCTTCATTATCTGAGCCAGTGGTAGCATGTAGACGTTAAAGAGAAGAGGCCCCAAGATGGAGCCTTGAGGTACAGATGAAGCACTCCAGATCAGACTCAGGTGGGTGTGTCCCAGTCAAAAGCCCAGCGGATGCCAGCGGATGCCAGCGGATGCCAGCGGCTGGGGGTGTTGCCAAATTGCTAGAGGGCGTTGCCCAATTTCCCCATTTGTTCAATTACAGGATTTAACCATGAGATGGCGCTTCATTCACAAAATACACAAAGACAACTGTTTGCAATGTTTACAGCTCTGCAGTGTGTTTGCTGAATACTGTAGCATTTAATCACTTATTTGTTACTGTATGGTTTTCACAAGCTACTATAATGAAAAAACATCAATATTTTAGATCAAATAAAGTATATAGTTTGCTTTATGCAGTATATTTCTTGTAATATTGTTGGGGTGTTTTTACACAGTACAGTAGATTGAAGTAAATCAATTTATACATTAAGATAAGATAAGATGGACCTTTATTAATCCCGTGGGGAAATTCAGTAGTTCAAACAGCAACAGGGTGAGAGTGAAAAACAGGACAGCACAGATTCACACAGATTAATAAAATCAAAAATAAGATGAGCGATACAAATAATAATAATGAGAAACTATGAAATAAGAAATGAATAAAACTAAAATATAATTATCATATCATATATTATAATGTATTGTATTATTAAGTAATATCATACATTAACCCCATTATAGCAGATGCCACATTGAATGGATGAACACATTTATGCATCAATAATTACAACAGAGTATTTCTAAATACAAGTTGTAAAAATACTTATATGTATTTAATATTAACCCTTTGGAGTCAACCGTCACGCCGGCGTGATCAGATCACATGACCTGTGCCGCATAATAACAACAGTCCAGACAACATTGCTGTGTGTTTCTGTCGAAAGTACTGGCTTGAAACTATATCCCAGTCTTTGTTTCATGCAAAAAGACCCAGTAAACACGGAGAGACGATGATATAAAGTTAATACATTTCAAAAGTATGAAAAATGGAAGCACATATTTAAATATATTCGCCGCATTTGATCATTTTACGAAACGGAAAATACTGGAAACTGTAGATCCTGCTCAACAGGATGTATATGTGTATTTCTGTCGAAAGTACTGGCTTGAAACTATATGCCAGTCTTTGTTTCATGCAAAAAGACCCAATAAACAGACACAAATAAACACGGACATACGATGATATAAAGTTAATACAGATATATTTCAGAAGTATGAATAATGGAAGCACATATTTTAATATCTTCGCCGTATTTGATAATTTTACGAAACGGAAAATACTGGAAACTGTAGATTCTGCTCAACAGGATGTATTTACCAGGGAGGGGGTGAGGTAATCAGGTAAACGGAGTAATACGAAACGAGACGAAAAGAGACGAAGAGGGACGGCGGGAACCGAAGAGAGACGGCGGGAAATGAGAGAGACGAAGATATACGAAGACAGGCGGCGGGAGACGAAGAGAGACGGCGGGAGACTGCGATTGAAGCAAAGTGACAGACAAACATTGAGAATTTAGATATAGTTAGATAGATTTAGAGTTTTGAAGATTCAACTATGATGAAGAGAACTCTGAACGTGAGTCAAGCTTTAAGCTTGTTTTTTGACATGGAGGAGGAGGAACCTGTGATGTTGCCCTCTGTGTCATATTGACAGAAACCGCTTTGAAGCGTGGCACAGATAAAGACAGAAAAAACTGATTTTTGTACATAATGTGTATATATATATATTTGTATTATATTTATAATAACACTTTTGCCTTATCAGAATGAAATCCGTTCACATTATCATAGTGACATCCCATGTATATATTTCCAGCTTTTAAATGGTTTCGTTGTGTATGTTTGTGTTACCTATGAAAAATAATATCATTTTCAAAATCTGTTTTTACGTTTTTTTTTGTGATTTTGGGTCCAAAATGTTCATATAGTAGAAGATCACTGCTCTAAACAAAGTCAAAAATCCTACATCCAAACGAAATAAATATAATTAATTATGATGAATACGTTAAGTCTTGTTAATTGTTTTTCACTTTTATTAAATGTTTGATATTTCCGGTGGAAATGGTGGACTATCGGACATTCAAAATGCAGCATATTTTCACTCTTACACACATATATTCTCCTTTTACATACATACATCTTCACTCTACACACATATATTCTCCTTTTACATACATACATCTTCACTCTACACACATATATTCTCCTTTTACATACATACATTTTCACTCTCACACACATATATTCTCCTTTTACATACATACATTTTCACTCTCACACACTACTCACACATTCATACATTTTGCTCTCATATTATCATATTTCAATGCACACATTCATATATTGTCACTCACACATTCATGCATGTTGTTCTCATATTCATATAATGTAATGCTCATATTTATACATTTTGCTCTCATGCGAAATGTACTAAAACAAAGTATGTCATGGTAGTGGTCAGCTGTTAAACACAAAAGTGTATCTTAAGGGCTGTAAATATAATAAGCCTGTTGTCAATTTTAGACACAGGCTTATTATATTTACAGCCCTTAATAACATTCATTTTCTGGACTCAATGTGTGTCTTGGCCGTTTTCTTTGTTCCAAGCAAACGAGTGCTTTTTGTTTTGAAATCACTTCCGCGAGTTTCGCGGGCCTCCCCCCTCGCTCCACTGACCATTAGACCATTTAGTAAGGTCACAAGCAAAAGGGCAACAACGCCTCTCAGACTCTCTTCCGTTTACTTTTTTAATAAAGAAAAACAAATGGTCCGTAGATACACGGACTCATATAGCCTATGTATGTAT